ACATCCAGATAAATCCTTTCATTTTTCCAATTCACTACGAAGTTCACCCAGGCCAGACACTGTGTCACTGTTCCCCACACCTGTGCCTGGGGCCAGCTGGGCACCTGTTCTGTCTTCTCCTCACAATTCTCTCTCCAGAAAGGCCTTTCTTACTGGGCCTTGCCAACTATGCCAAATGTTATGCACTGCTGCAAGTGATTGCAATGGATCCCAATAGGAGAGGCACTCAGACTTCACAAAGCATTAATTAAAATACCATTTATTGGAGAAACGCAAAAAGAAGGAGAGCATTGCATATATAACCATAAATCCCTCAAGAGGCTGTGAACCTTTGGTTCTGCAGCACTGCACAGACCTCTAGTCAGGGCATGGCACACTGCACAGATCCCATCATGATGAGGTCCAATGTCATTGTGGTCTTTAGAGTTTTATAGGGTGCTGTTAGACATAAACACCACTATCCACAATGTCTATGACTGAGCAAAAGGATGTTTATATGAAAACACACTGCCTTCAAGACAGATATGTGGACATGATGAGAGTGAGGGTGTCACCACCAGGCATCAGCTGGGAGCTTCTCTGCTGTGATTAGCCAGTTATGTTTATCCTGCAGCCAAGGGATCCGTGCTGGCTCAGGTCAACTGGTACGTGGCTCACTAACTCCTCAGTGGACTAAAAGTCTTCTTGTTAGGTTCACAACAGCAAGTGCTTCATGGGTGTTCCTATTTATTCTCTCATCTCAGTAGAAAGCAGGTAGCTACAGGTCAGCAGGGCCTGGATTTCGCCTTTCCTCACCTGGGTGCTGTGACAAGGAGCACGCGCCTGGAACGCAGGCCCATGGGAACAGTTTGCAGCTGTGTCAATATTTGAAAGAAGGCGAGAGTTAGGCCAGGCCCAAAGGGAGGGCTGCAGGGCGCACCATGGCTGCGGGCACACCTGCCCACCGCAGCCCTACACCTGTGCTCCCCTGCTCCGCACATTCACACGCTCCCAGGTGAGGAACGAAGCTCCCCTGCACCGTCCTCAGGCGCAGCACGCAGCTCGGGCGAGGCGCGGGGCCTGCGGGTAGCCCTGCACAGCCCTGCTGCGGCGCGGGGCCCGGCTGCTCGCCAAAAAGCCACAGCGCAGCCACCTCGCCCCGCTCGGGGAGCGGCTTCCCAGCAGGGCCCCTTCGCAGCGGCCGCAGCGGAGCGGGAG